CATTATACATGGAGCTTCATTATGTCATGTCTGCTTTATTTTTCTCTTTTCCTTTTGTGCAGGTGCACAAGTTTCCTTTTGTGATTACACCAAAGGCTTTGACAGCATAGGTACAATTATTCACTCATCTACATGTTAGAAATGGTAACAAGTAACAAACATTCAAAGTTGCATCATGAATTTTGGATCTTCTATTTTTTTTTTCCCCCCCTGCTAGTCTTACTTTCTATTGACGTTCTGCTGGAACAAGAGTTCTATGCTTTTACTAGATTTCTACTAACCACAACTTTTAAACACTCAAGAACTCCCTGTGTCCTCTTTGCCTCAAAAAACATCATGGAATATGTAACACTTCTGGAAAGTTGGAAAAAAATTTTGACTTCTATGAAGTAAACTGCCGTAAAATTTAAATGCCAGCTTAACAAGCGGTGTTAACATCAATTCAGCTATTTCACTACCCCAGTGTATTTCAAAGCAAAGGCTGTAAAACAAGATGTCATTCTGAACATACGTTTTAAACAATAGAAAGCTGATGAATACTTTTGCAGAACAGATGCAGAAAACTCAGCAGAATAAAAAAAAAAAAAAAAAAAAAAACATTTCAACAGAACCAACTGTTGAGATGAAGAGAAACGCTCTCAGATGTACTATCAACTCCTGAGAAATCAGAAAGAAGTGAAGAAATACGGGTGCAGAATCCCAGCAGTCTCCAACAGTCCTACAGTACCTAAGACAGAGTAGCCATCTTGCTGTATAAATTCCCAACTCCGAGAGATCTGGTTAAAAAAGCAACAAAACTCATTGCAGTTTTCCGATGTTATCTTCCATATGAAGGGGTAGAGCTTAGCAATTCCAGAATACTGAGAGCATGTGGAACAAAGATAGAGCTCTGAAAATACAGTCAGAACTGCCAAAAACTTCACATTTTATCATCTGCACTTACTAAAACACTTTTCACATACAAGTTAAAAATAAAAATAAGACAGTACTGCCTTTTGCCCTCAAATTCAGATGATACCACAGAAGAGAAAGATTAGCATATACAAAGTGTAACAAGCTTCCAGCACTGGAGTCTCAAGAAATTATGCTCTTTTTCCCCAGAAGTGAGCTTCCGGCTCAGTCAGCAAGCAGAAGACCCACTCTGAAGCTCAAAGGAAGAAGTAATGCTGCCTGCAAGTAAGCAGCGTGGAGACTGAAAGACAGCAGTATGAACAGGCTTGACATCCAAGAAAGTCATACCCACTTACATGGGTATAACTACATGATGACCATCATATAGGGTTTTGATTTCTGAAGATAGAGAACTTTTGGTTAGGGAAATCACTAAGCCAATCAAAACTTGATGAATTTCAATTAAAAAAGAAAAACTCATCTTTAAATTTACTACTGAATCTCACTGTCTCCACAAAACTGCTGCTAATACAGCTACTACTGAAAGTAAAAGGCTGTCATGGTTTAAATCTATTTGGCAGCTAAATACCATGCAGCCACTCACTCACCCCCCCCCTGCCCTGGGGAATGGGGGAGAGAACTGGAGGGCTAAATGTAAGGAGGTTCATAGGCTGAGATTAAAACAATTCAATAACTGAAATAAAATTAAAATAATAATGATAACAAGAATAGAAAATACAAATGAGTAGCGCACAATGCTATTGCTCACCACCCGCTGACTGATGCCCAGCCTGTTCCCAGCCAGCAATCCCAGAGAAGAGAGAATCCTGAAACTGCAATCCTGAATGAGAGAGCGAGCTTCCCGATCAACCCTCATCTATACACTGAGCATGACGCTGTCTGATATGGAATATTCCACTGGCCAGTTTGGGTCTGTTGCTCTGGCTCTGTTCCTTCCCAGCTTCTTGTGTACCTGCACACTAGCAGGACATGGCAAGTTAAAAAGTCCTTGATTTCTTAGCAACAACTAAAAACATCAGTCTATTATCAAAATTTTTCTCATACCAAATCCATACTGAATCCAAAACACAGCGCTATTCTAGCTATTAAGAAGAAATAGAAGTTAGCTCTATTCCAACTGAAATCGGGACAAATACCAATAAAACAGTGACAATCACTACAACCACAACCCACACAGGAACTCTGATACATGGATTTTTGTTGCTGTTGATGTCTAGTGCCCAGCAAACACAGAAGTGGAAAATAAAGTTAGGTAAAAATTATTTAATGTAAATAGATATCGGTAAGACTAGAACTTCATTTCTGATGATATATCAAGGAGGGAAAGCTCAAGCATTTTAACAAGACTACATGCACATACATCTTGCATACTGAAATGAAGAGTGCTCTAAGCAAAATGTTTTTAAGTTACTAAAGAAAAAATGTGCGCTGACTTTTCCTACATATTCAATTATCATCAGACAGTTTTGTGAGACCATACAACTCCACAGACCACCTTGAGTAAAAAGCTAAGCTTCAACACTGCTCATCAGCAAAAAGTTACTAACAACTATCTCATTAATAGAAATGTGAACAATCTGAAGGAGATGCAGGCTTATATGTTTCTTACGATCTTAACTGCAGCCAGGAACCTGTGCAAAAGCAAAACAGAGTCTCTGTGACATTACTGGTTACCCCTACTCATCACACAAAGGTCCTGACTAAGTTATTACACTGTCACGCTGTCAGAAGTATTGTTTTTGAGATGCACAAGACCATCATGAAACTACCTTGAAGATAGAGATGCTGACGTTAATTTTATCCCTTCAAGGTTAATTTTCGCAAGCTCGAGTTGATAAATTTTCATCAAGACTGCGATTAAGTCACAAAAACTTAGATAAATACCCAATAATCTTGCTCGGTTTCAAATGTTTTAGTACATGGAAACTGAGTTAGTTCTCTAAAAAAAATACAGAACAGTCTAATAACATCTTAAACTATATCAAATTGGACTTAAATGAAATCTTTAGACTCAAGTATATGAAGTTGTAAATTATTTTTTTTTAAAACAGCCATAACAAAGTGCAACACCTCCACTGCAACTAGAAGTGTTTTACTAAGATCAAGGAATTTATTTTGATACATTCCCATAGGGAAGGGGAATAAAGAAACAAGCTAGGCAGATATATTGATATATAGGAATTTGAAAACATCTTCCTTTAAGGATCACACTATCCATTCCCCTAAAAATATCAGTACAAAAAAAAAAATTAAAAAATTTTTTTAAGAAGTCACACATAGTAGAGACCAGACACTTCTAACACTGTTTTCCAGTACACCTTGGCACGTCTATGAATTCAGTAATATGGAAAATAATTATGACACAGATGACAACCACTACATGCCTGAAAAATGCTGGTGTGGTTATTTCAGTGACAAACATTACGTAGTCAGAACTGCTGATGATGACAACACTGTGGTTGTTATGCTTTAGTGGTCTAACATAACAAGAAGCCCTTAATTTTATAATGTGTGGTGTGTTTTCCATTGTCAGGAGCAGGCAAGACATAATTCCAAGCTATAATTCTTTTAATTCCAAAATGGTAAACCTGTAAAGGGAATACAGTCAGTTTAACTGCTAGTTGACCACTACAACAAAACTAAGCATCTGATTCTCAATTAAGATAATTAACTGTACCAAAAGCAGCCAACTGTTTGTGTTTTGGTTTGGGTTTTTTTTTTTCCTTTTTTTTTTTTAAAAAAATACTTGACAAGTCACTGCAATTAAAATTCAGGCACAAATTGGTGTCAGAGCTTCTTTAGCACTTTGACAACAAATTTCAACTTGAACTTAACCAGTACTGCCAATATAGACAAGGAATATAAATCAGATGTGTGATGGTGTTATCTGATGCAATCAAATTTGAATTCTTGTTTACAAGCTTCTCTGTATAAAGACTATCTTCCTCAAAGATAGTAAAACAAATAAAACTACTATTAAAAAAAAAAAGCTGTTTTTTTTTTGCTGTGAAACCTTCTGTCAGGCTCCTTCTACTACACACTAAAATCAAGACACATAACAAACCTTAATTAACTACATTATAGATGTACTATTATATACAACCCGATATTGCTAGTCCATTAAAGCAGATCACTGAAGATAAAGCAATACACACATCTAGCTGGACTTGACAATGGTTCTGAAACACAGTAAATAGAAACCTTAAACGTCAACAAGAGTATTAAAAAGGAAGGGAAGAACTTGCATAGGAAACTAAGGTGACAGAGCAAAAATGACATGATTAACTAGAGAGAAACTAATAGGATACAAAAAGCAAACATCACGGGTTTTAACAGGTCACAAGCTGATCAAGATCCTTACAACAGACACGGCGAGATACGAAGAATTCCTCTTGCTTGTCTCCCACAACAGGGCTTCTCGTCTCAACTCACAGGAAGAACAGACTGAAAGCACGGTCCCAAAGAGCCAAGACTCCTTAAGTAGGCACTATGGTATGGCAAGGCCCAAGATACCGGCCATAAATTACCTTCTCACATTCCACCCCTCCAAAAAGGGCCCAGTTTCAAGTCCTCCCCCAGCCCAAGCGGATACCTAGAGGGTGAGGGGCCCAGCAGCCCTCCCCGAGAGGGGAGCGCAAACCCTCTCCCAGCTCCAAATGGAGGAGCAGGTTCGTCCCGCTCCACTGAAAGGCCCTGCCATACACCCCGGGAGAAAGGGGAGAAGTCCCTAAGGTGACAGAGCCCAACCCATCCTGAGGAGAGAGGGGCCGGGGATCCCCGCAGTGCCCCGGGCACACCCGCGCGCAGACCGCCATCACCGCCCCCGGCTCCATCACGGCCGCCCGCTCCGCCTCTGCCGCGGGGCGGTTTCGGCCTCCGGAGCCCCGCGGACCAGGCAGCCGCCCTGCCCTGCCCGGGACCCCGCAGTCCGCACAGCGAGGACCCGGAGCAAGGGCAGAGAAGGCCCCCGCGGCTCCCGACCGCCCCCGGCTCCGGGCGGGGGCCGCAGCCGCTGCCGCCTCCCCTGGGCCTGGGCCTCTCCCTTCTCCGGGCCATTTTGAGAGCCCGCCTCCGGCCTCGATACTCACCGCCCGCCGCCGCCGCCCGCCGCCGCCTCCCCAGCTCTCGGTCCACCGCTCTCCCCGCTCCTCAGCGGGCTCGGTCCCGGCTCGCCCAGCTCCGTCCGTCCCCACGCAGCCACAGCGTCGCCCTCCCTCCCCTCCTCAGGCGGCCATTTTCTGCTCCATTGTTACCAAGGAACGGGGGCCCGGAAGCGGCCGCCGGCAAGCGGAAGTGAAGGCGCAGGCGGCTCTGCGCAGGCGCCGCCTCCCCCGCCGGGGTAACGGCGGCGGGGCGGGGGGAGCGCGGCCCAACGAGAGGAGCGTGGAGGACCGCGGGGGTAGAGCGGCCCCGGCGCCGCCATTTTGAAGAGGGGCAAAGGCCGAGGGCTGTGGCGGGGTGGCATGGAGGCGGGGTGGTTGTAGAGGCCCTCGGCGGCCACTTCTCAGCCCACAGCTTCCTGCTGCCCTGGGGCGATGCTGAGGGTTCCGGGGCCTCAGCAGTGCACGCCCGTGGGGCTATTAAGGCACAGCAGCAGTAGGGTTGGCGTCCCCGCAGGAGTCAGGCCTGGCGGTGTGGGGGCCATTTCATGTCACGTCGTGGTGTGTGCTGGGCAGAGGTGCCAGCACTCAAACCCAACAGTGGTCAGGCATTCCCAATCAGCCAAGCTGGCAATTAGCAGTGAGTGCTGGTGTGGATATTCACCTCACCCTCTAACCATGGCAGGGTTTCCCCTCTCACTCCAGGTTTTCTCTACTGCCTAACCCAGTGTTGTGTGTTACAGACAACAGTCATGCTGTACAACAGCTAAGATATTCCTATTTTCCAGTATGAGCCTTAATTAATTGAACACTAGACTTCTCATGTTCTGTAAGGCCTGTTCTTAAGTTTTTCTGCTGTTCTTCCCCTCTCGCTGTTAAAACTGTAAATGGCAGATGTGTTCCCTCCAGGGTCAGTCCATCTCCCTCATGGTATTCTGACAAAGAATTGAAATTGGGAATCAGTAAGAGATCGTGGGAAGAAAACTGTGGCTGAAGGGAAGTAGCAGAGAACCAGGAGAGAAAAAACTACAGTCCCAGTTTCGAACGCAAGGGGACTTGTGCCATGCTGAGTATCAGTGCTCATTTAAGGAGAGGGAAAGGTTAAGGCTCTGCATGCTTGTCTGCCATAGAGAGCAGAAGGGATTCCCACAGAGTTTTGAAAGATCCTATTTTAATGCCTGAAAAATCTACCTGGCAAAGGACTTTCAAGGCAGTAATTTTCATTTCCACACAAGATCCCGTATACGGAGAGAAAACATATTTCTGAGGATTTACATGGTTTCAGGAAGCCTACAAGACACCCTTGTTTTTCCTTTTGGCAGTTTATTACAATAGTGAGATTACTGTCGTGTTTAGGTATGGGTTGCATTTAAAGACTGTTGAAACATAAATGTGTAGAAAGATACAAGCCCAACTTGTAATGTAAATGAGGTGGTTTTCTATATTCACAGCTTAAATTTGCCCCTTCAGACTTGAGAGCTCCAAGGCAGCTACAGTGTTTGTGCTAGAGAGAATGGAGGGGTCAAGTACAGGGCATAACTTCTCATCAGTTTTATTTGCCACAGCATGGGACCAGGAAAGGAAGTGGATTAGAAACTCACTGCACTGAAGGCGGTGATGCAAAAATCATTAGTAATGGAGAGCAGAGGCAGTCCCAGTTTCATCTGGAGCAAATGTAGGATCACAACTATGCTTTTGTTGAAATAAACAGAACATAAAGCATGGAAGATTATTCCAGCTGCAGGACAGATGATGTGGCATATAGTTGGAGTTACGGAGAGGTGATACCTAATCAGGCATAAAACTTGCTTGCAGAAGGTTAACCTGTCACATTTTTAAAAGTAAATTGCAGTTGTGAGTGTGAGTTTAAATCAGATCAGTCCTTTGCATCATTGCTGCAATACAGATCCTGCATTACAGCTGGATATACTGTAGGGTCAAACGATGACCTGATAGCTCTGGTTTGACTGTTCAGTGTGAATAAAATTTAAAAAAGAAAAATTAGGAAGAGTAAATTTAATGTCACAAAGCAGTTTTGCAGTTTTAATGAATCAAAATAGTTGTCATGGGAAAAAGTTGCCTTGTTCCTGACCCATGACAAATGGAACTTTTTATGTAAACAGTGATTCTACCTCTGACAGATTCCAGTAGTTGGAGAAACTGTATCCCCTGAAGAGAGAGACCCTGTGACTGTATATGTACACTTTCATTTTTGGCAGACATCTTTGAAGCAGGCAAAAAATTCATTCCACTGTCAAACATCAATAATTCAGGGAGCAGATGATCGGCATACAACTGATCCAATTTATCATGGAAAGCCTCGTGCCGACAATTGATAAGACAGCCACCGAGTGAGAGTATTGGCAATTAGTAAATCAGCAGGACGTCCATCAGAGTGCTCCAATGGCAGACCTCAAAGAACTGAAGAAATAGGCGGCAATGTGACTGCGACAGTGATTTATGCATGAAAGTGAATCCTCTCTTTTCTCCCTACCTTTTCTGAATACCAGGCAAGGTCAGAGCAGGATAAAAGTGGCTTTGTTATACACCAGTAACCTAAGCAGCAAAACGTTAGGGATTATTGAGCAAATGGGGGGTGAAGCATATTCTACTATTTGAATGGAGAGATAAGATGATGGTTTCTGTTCTGGAACATCCTCTCGGTGTTTTATGACATCTGACAAGTAATTTGTTTGTCTCTTTCTTTTCCCCTCAATAAAAGGCTTTTACTTGATAAATCTTACCAAAAGTCTTGAAGATCATCAAACGGCAAACAACAGAAGAATAAAACATGTTATTCTTTACCTCTGTGAGTAAGTTCAGACTCTTCAGGTGGGTATTTGCCAGTTTGCTGGGGGATGGAACACCCAGCAATGCAGAGATGGCAGCTGGGTTCTGCAGATTCACACCTCGCTTCAGTGGTTACCATTTGTAGCTGAGGTCCAGGGCAGACAGCTAAGGAAAAGCACATCCCTCGGTGTGATTTGGTGGAGTTTATTTGCAGATGCCCTCACAGGGTCCATCAGGTGCAGAATAAGCTCTGATTTTTCAAAACCACTTACTGGATTTTAGTATCCAGTTGACATTGATAACAATTAATAGCCTTTGCACACATATCTCCTTAACATATCTTCCTTTTGAAAAAAATTAGGATCGGTGTAGTGGTGTATTTCAGAAAGCTTGTAGGGGAAAATATATTTTCACAGAGAACTTTGCAGTATAGGGAAAAAAAATCCAGAATCTATAGCAAAAGCATGGTGTAATTCATACTTAAATGTTTTCAATTTGCTAGTGTATATATAGCAAAGGAGAATTACAGCACTTTTCCATGGTAAGTTTAATGTCATCTCCTTCAATTAGGGTAAATAAATTTGCTTTAAATCCCCCAGGGTCTTAAAAACAGGTTATTTGGTATGCAGTGATAGATGAGAAAAATGTTGGTGTTTTTTTTTTTTTTTCTAAAAAGATATTAAAATAATATATCGACAATATAGATAAGTAATAATCCAAATGCAGTGAGGTGAGAAAAATCTGAATCTCTTGGGAGCTTCTAAACCTGAAGTAAAAAAATAATAAAAAAAAAAACCTGCCAAACTCAAATCATTGTATACTCTAAGTATTAACAGAGCCAGGTACTGAGCAGGCAAATGAAGCCAATTTACTCTAATGTACCAGCCCAGAACAAACTTGAGAGGAAACCTAAGGATATAACAATTCCTAACAGTCTAACTTTGCTCTTTTCTCCATCTCAGTTTTCTATCTACGTTGCTGTTCCGTGCTGGCGACAGGCCCTCTCCTTCAGCAGGCAGGGGGATGGAGGGTCCCTTCTCTTCTGGTGGGGAGAGAAGCCTATATTTATGTCTTATACAACAAAGTATTTTCCATTCAAACGATATCACAGGAGGTTATTCCAGCTGGTTATTTTTAAATCAGCAGGTCTGGCATGCTAGCGTTTTAAAGAGCTTGAGAAGAATTTTGTACCTTAAGAAAGCATTTTCAACAGTGTTCAGAAATTTGCTAAATTCTGATTTAGGTCTTGTGTGTCTGGCAGTGCTGTGCTCTTGGGAGAACTTACCTCCTTGGGTACTGTCCTTCCACATCTGAGCTTTTAAACTCCCAGCCTGTTTGGGGAGCAGGCAGAATCACAGAATTATTTAGGTTGGAAAAGACCTTTAAGATCGGGTCCAACCGTTAACCTAACACTGCCAAGTCCACCACTAAACCATGTTCCCAAGTGCAACATCTACGTGTCTTTTAAATCCCTCTAGGGATGGTGACTCAGCCCTTTCCCTGGGCAGCCTGTTCCAGTGCTTGACAACCCTTTCAAGTGAAGAAATTTTTCCTAATACCCAATCTAAACCTGCCCTGGTGCAACTTGAGGCCATTGCCTCTTGACCTATCACTTGTTAGTTGAGAGAAGAGACCGACCCCTTTCTCACTGCAACCTCCTGTCGTGTAGTTGTAGAGAGCAATGAGGTCTCCCCTCAGCTTCCTCTCCTCCAGGCTAAACAACCCTATTTCCCTCAGCCACTCCTAAGACTTACGCTGTAGACACTTCACCAGCTTCGCTCTCTGGATGTGCTCCACCACCTCACCACTATCGATCCAAACCTGTGTTTCTAGCGTAAATCTCGTGGTGGACCTTAAGCTGTGCTTGATGAAAGGTGGCAGCAGAATTAATCTCCTCATTTCTGGCCAGATGTGTTCTGGAGGGGGATCTTGAGAGGAAGATGGCAGCTAAACACAAGAGGAATTGTATAGGAATTTAGTACCAACAGAGGTGCTATTCGTGCCTTTTAAAACTCGAACTTCCTCGTGTAAACAGGAAGAAGATTTGGTGACTTTCTGTGTCAGTCAGTTGAAGAGGATTTCTAAGATCAAAGTATCAGAGCTGTGTCGGCAGCCGTGTGGGTTTACAGGGGCTTTCTGAGCAGGTTCTTGTCTCCGCTCTGGATTTGGTTCTGTTTACAGCCGTGTCATTCTCTCGGTGTCATTTCTCTGCCAAGTGGCAGCAGCAGAAGAGCTACAGGGTCTGCAGGCAGTATCCCTGCCTGCTGGCTAGCTGCAGCACTGCTCATTAGGTAGCATATAAAATCAGGTTTTGTCTTCTAATTAGTATTAAAACAGATGTCTTTATGATAATGCCGCAATCCAGCTCAGACTTAGAAACAGCCTTGAAGGTTTCCGAGTAACTTACTCTTGCTCAGTAACTTTTCTGTTAACTCATGGTTGATTTTTCCCTTTCCTTGAACGCGGCTCAGCCTCACGCGGTTGTAACAAACTCTTGTCCAGGTAGAAGCAATACATAGTTTGAGAGTGTCAGAAGCACTTCAGATCAATGTTCACACATCAGATGTTTGAAAGCTTCAGGATGAAACGTGAAACAAATACAAAAGTTGTGTAAAAATGCAGCAGAACGAAATGTGGAGAAACTGTCCGTCTGAGTGAGAGAACAAGCTCCATTTTGTTCTCTCCAGCTTCCTTGGCAGAGAGATCCTTATGCTACGCCGGGCTTTTGTCCTGTTTGTGCTGCATTCCAGTGCCACGGAATAGTCGGGCAGGTTCCTCTGCATCCCGGGGCTCGAGCGGGGTGCAGAAAGCTGCAGTGGGAGGTGGGTGTCCAGGAATACAGCGTCAGGCTGGCGGTTGGTGGAGACATTACGCCTCTGTGATCTTCAAGGCACCACGTAAATGAACAGCCAGATCCCTGGGGGGAAACTTAATGTTTCTCAAAGTACTGATGCCGAGATATTTTTGCTCGGTGCATTATTGCAGCTGATGCCGCAAACATAATTGCAGATGGCCTACCAAGGAGAACACAGTTTTTCCAATCCATATTTTTGGCCTTTAAAAAGACTGTTAACTAGAGATCTGGGCAGCATAAGCGCAGTAATTTTGATTGTGCCCCCTGCTACCTGTGGTTTTAAAGCTGGGCTGCTATTTACTTTTGAAATTGACTTTTTTTTTTTTTCCCCCTTTAGCTTCTGAAAGAAAGTTGCGTACAAAGAATGTGATAAATGCAGAATGTGTAAAGTTCCGTTGGATATGCTGGGTAAATGCACTGGAACGCAGCAATTGCCCAGGCTGACTGTAGTCACTGCTGCAGGCAGCAGAAGAGGGGAAGTATTCAGCCCAGGGTGTGATAGTTTTCCTAACACGCAAACAGCTCTTTAAGGGGTAAAACCCATTTCCACTTTCCCTGGTGCAGTCTGCAGGCTGGGCCCAAAGGATTCCTCCCATGACGTTTACTGCCAGTCTCTGTCGAGTTAGGTGCTGTAAATCCAGTTACACCCAAAAAGTTCAGGCTATAGAAGAATAACTTAAAGCAGAGAGTGTAGCAATTTGTACAAGCCCAACATTGAGATGCTTGACTTTGTAATGAGAGAGGGCTTTGTTACTGTACCCGATTCCGTGTTCAGGCAGGGACTGACCAGAACTAAGCTAAGTCAAGTATTTCCCCCTTTGGCCAAAAAGATTTTTAAACACGCCCTCAAACAACTCAGCAATAATAAAACATAGAAGAAAACCTCTTATAAAATCATATAGTCACATCCATTTGTTCTGAGTGTGTCGGTCTGTTCCAAAATACTTCCTTCCAAAGTGTGTCGGTGCAACAGGATAGAATTGTGTAGTTAAAATGGTTCTTGGGGAATTCCTGGATGATCGATTTGGTGCCTTTTGAGAGACTGCAAAGGCCTCAACTTACCATGCGGTGTGGAGAACAGGCTTAGCAGGATAATGACACTTGGTTGCACGCCGTGTTCTACAAGAACTTTGACAGCCTCAATGACAGTGTTACCAGTACCTAAAAGGGGGAAAAGGGAGATTTTTTTTATTTTACCCCCTGCCTTGGTTGAAGAACTTGTCCCAGGCCATCCCAGACTTTCCGTGTTAACGCTGGTGTGTGACTGAGAGATGACACTGTCCTTTCCCACTGGAAAACTGTCACCTCTGCACGTATTAATTGTAGAAATCTTCAGTCTCCTGATGGAGGAGCTTAATCTCTGCTCTGAAACAGCCAACTCTGCCAGGTTTTAAGCACTGAAGTTGGTGGATTTTATTAAAGCCCTGAGGCAAGGAAGCTCATCTGAAATAGTAAAATGGCAATTAAGAGCTCCACGTGTAGAACCAGAATGAAGTCTTACACTGGAAAAGTTACTTCATCCTGACAAACTCCTTACCACGCTTACCAGATTATATATTTCTTTTTTTTTGGTAGTTATTAACTGTATTTAATTTCAAAATAATTTACTTCTAGGATGGTAATCTTAATCCAGAAATGTCTTTTAATAGTATGAGAAAAGGGCTGTTTGAGTCTTTTCTCATGGCAAAATTAAAAAAATTGAATTTCTATCAAGTCTTAATGCTTCAGCCTTTCTCACAACCGCCGGCATGCCCAGGTGATTTGTTCTGCATTCATGCTGGTGCAAGCTGACTGATACGTATTCTCCCATAGCCTGATAAATTCCCTGCTGTGTCACCTAAGCCAAGCAAAAAACCTCCTCAAAGCCCCTGCAATTTGGAAATTTCCCTTTAAATTCAGCACAGTCACTGTTCAGGTGAGTCTAACCGTATGGAATGATGGAAGGCACTTACTTAGTATTGGGTACATGAGAAGAACTTTTCTCCTGTAAATGTCTGGTGGAAATTTAGCGTAGTACACTTTGGCTCTCTGCGTCTCCTCATCGCTCTGGATCAGGATTTTTCCAATGCGGATTGATCTGCAGCAGTCTCGCAAACCTTGTTCCATTGCCTCTCCTCAAAATGAGCAGAAGAAAACCCAACAAATTATTACACGCTAAGAAATGGCACAATTGCAAGATGCTGCAATTGAACAGACAGTGCAGATACCGTATTGGTGAAGAGTTCTAAAAAGGAGACTTTTTTCCTTGGCTCCAAGTGTTAAAAACACTTGAAGCTGTTTTCTTTTTTTTTGTCTGTTCAGACCGAAAACCGAGTCTACCCGGTGTTCCTGAGCTCCCGGGTATTGGCATTCCCACACAGCAGTGCTGAGCTCTCGAAGGCGAGAGCTGGAAGCGTCGAAACCAGCGTGTGGGGTTTGGAGAACGTCTGTGAGCTCTGCCCAGAGACACCCCGGTGCAAAATGCAGCGCGGGAGCTGTGGAGCCACTGGAGTTCACATCGCGGGTACCGAGGCTGCCGCAGCCTTGGGCAAAAGGACGGTGACTCTGCCACCGCTGAGCGTGGTTTGTTTGCAGACCTGTCTGTCTCTGAGCAGGAGTCGCTGGTGGCAGGCAAGGAAGGACAGTTGCCTCCTGAGAGGTCAGTGAGATACAGTACTTGGCATGCTGTGATCAAGGATACCTAACAAGGAGTAACAACTGGCAGGTTTGGGTAAAACTTTGCTGTAGAGGAGTGTCCCTGCACATTTTTTGAAAGGAAGTTGCTTACAGGTTTCCAGAACATTTCATTTGTGCTTGTTCAACAACCAGAAGCTACCTACCGCTTCTCATTATGCTGACCCCGCAGTTTCCCTTCTCAAATCTGACTCCTTCGTAGATGAGTCCTGTTGGTCGCAAACAAGCACGAGCCTGCCTGCAAAAGAGAAGGTGGGGATTTTGCATTTTGCAATTAAGCAGGGCCCTGTGAAAGACTTGATGAAAGGCTGATCCCATCCGGGGATGGGGGGAAGTGTGGCCTTTACTGGAGCAAATGTGTTGTGTTTCTGTCATGCTGACAGCAGGGCCAAACAAAATAGTATGGAGTAATGTAGGTAAGGGGCCTCGCTAATAATTTCAAGAAGCAACTGTAACATTATTAAAAGTAGGCTTTGTCAAGTTAACCAAATACTTTCCTTAATGTCATGGTTTCAAGTAGTAGTTCTGATAAAATAAACCTTCAGTTAGTAAGACATCTGAGCTTGTCTTTCACATTTTGATGAAGAGGAACGGTGTAAGTCAATATGACAAATATTAATTGGACTGAAAACTAGCTGATAGGTCTCCAAGTGTAGTTGTAAGCAGAAGCATCACTGAACAAGGCACAGCTCCCTTCCTATCAGTTGTTGACCCCACACTGCTTAATGTGACCTACAAGAAAATATAAAATCATTACTGGTGATCTGCAGGTGCATAGAAGTTAGGGGCAGGTCACTGATACCAAACCTAATCTGAATCACTTAATGAGCTGAGCTTAAGTAAACAACGTGTTTTTCAATGCCACCAGATGTAAAGTCATCAGCCTAAGAATAGAGCAGCAGCTGGACTAAGGGCTGGGTGACAAAGTCGTAGAAAACAGTGATTCAGAAGAGGAATAATCAGTGAAGATGAGCTCCTAATGAGATGCTCTGCCAAGAGGAGCTAGTGCTTCCATGGAACCAAAAAGGGAGGCACCAAGGAAGACAAGGGAGGTTTTATTATCTCTGTTGTGGGCTCCAGGAAAACTTCCCGGAGGGCTGGAAAACACATCTCCCTGAGAAAACACCCAAGGAAAACAGTTATTAAGAAATAAAAGGTTAAGGGACATTTTAAATGCAGTCTCTAGGAAGGCACATGGCAGATTTAACACTAAACGGTTCTTTGTCTGGCAAAGTGGTGTTTGATTCCGGGACATCAAAATAGGTTGCTGTATATTTTTAGCAGGGGGGGACAGTTGTCCACTGAAACAGTCCACCAACTATGGCAGAGTGCCTGTCACTGAAGAATCACTGGAAATACTTAACAAGATTTTTTTTTTTTTTTCCAAAGGAAACGCTCTAGTTTGAACAAGAATTAATTCAGAGGAGTCTGGCAGCCTTCATTAGGCTGGAATTGGGAGCAGGTTAATAGAACAGCTCCTGCTAGATTTCTTCTGAATAAATACAGAAACACTCTGACTGCAGGCAGGGGTGAAGGGAAGAGCTGACGCAGGCAGGCACAGGCAGCCTTTGCTCCAATACGTGTGTGCTCCCGGTTAGGTGAAAAGGCCATTTTGAGTCATCTCTCCTCCCTTTTCAGGTTTAGGCCACAACTGTAACAGGCTACAGCTTTCCAACGCTTTTTTTTCACCCGCGTAACATATCAGCATGAGCCATAGCTGCCCTCAGCAGCGCAAGCTGCAGGGCAGTCAGCTTTTGCAAAAAGACAGCTACCAAAACGTGCTGCTGACAGCTTTATTGCCATGCCTTTTGCTTTGACTCCGGGCTGTAAGAGCAGTATTAGCCACTGGGAAACGTAAACATATTACCAGGTGAGGGTACTACCAAATAATGGCAGCTTTATTGCTGTCCCTTGGCACTTCGAAAGTATTGGGTGCCCGCTGGGTTTTAATTATTGTTTAGGGGAAGCAAGGATCCTAGGCAGGCTTTATCTTTTTATTCATTTGTGTTGAGAAGCCAGAATGGAGTGGTTTCGTTTTTTTTTTTTTTAAGTGTCAGAGTCCTTAAGAGAAAAATGGGGGAAAGAGAAAGTGGGAAACACAGGACGGGGTTGGAGGGAAGAGAGATTTTTCAAAGGCATTTTCTTATTCAGTGTTGATGGTCACCCCCTTATTTACATCCAAACCACATTTGGGATGGTCACTCACCAATCCTTACCTTCGGGCGTGATTTCTAACATCTCATGTGCAGCTTGAGCATGTGTCGGTGACTTTGGGTACTGCCGTCTGCTTAATCACAGGGCTAGCAGGGGGGACCCGGAGTCCGTTTCTGCCTATTCTTTTTTGCAGCTGTTTCAACAGCAAATGCTAATTCCTCTCTCAATGTTTTGCTCTTTCTGGGAATTTAAAAATAACTTGCCTAATGAAGCAGTGCTGAGCAGCTCATATGTCCAGACAGATAGGAGTGAAATGCTTCAGTTCAGAAAGCAAAGCCGTCCATGGTGGCAGTGCCTTTGAACAAGTCCCCCAAGGCCCTTTTTCAAATAATCCCAGGACTGGCTGAAATTAATGCAGGAAGAAATTCAGAGGAAGGGGGGAGAATCACGTCAAAAGGCCTGAGACTTGGGAAGGCATTTCTGGGTGAGCTGTAATCAGTCCCATCCTATGACATCCCTTTAGCAGTGCCGTTTAATTACTCCATTACGGGCAGGGTTTGATGTATGTGTGCTATAGCAGGGACATCCAGAACATGAAAGAAAAATGTGGCGCTTACTGAATGCTTTACAAAGATCAATGAAGCTCCTTGTCCCTTGTTAGAGCAACGAGAAGCTGAGCACAGAGTGACAAAACTGCCTGTCCAAGGGCAGCCACCAAAGCTTAAGCAGAGATACAGGTGACGGCAGTTTTTAGTTTCTCCCTTAAAACCACCTTGCTGTTACTCATCTTTGGTTGCCCATCCTCTGTGTCTGTACCCGGGGATCACCATCACCATTTCAGTTTACCCCTCAATAAGCACATCTGCCTCAGTAGGACAGGACACGTGAGAACCGTGAAGGGTGAACATCTGCGTATTGCCAAGAGTAGCTGCGAGAGCAATTCCAAAACCAAGCTGGGCATGAGGTGCTGGGAAGCAAAATTGCTATGGAAAGGCAGGCATGGGGTCCAGGGAGATACTTGGCTTCTTACTTTGGGCCAAGGCTGGAGTCAGAAGACCTTCCCCTACCCACTTCTAGCCTTCTTAGCCTCTTGGATTGATTTGCACCATTATTATTTTCTGATTCTTTAGAATGAAATCATTTACAGTGCAAGTCCTTGACATTTCAGACTTACTTCTGTGGGTGCCATAATGTTTATCAGAGAGTAAATGTTTCTCTTTCTAATATATCAGTGATAAAAATCCCTCTTTTTTGCCAGCTACATGAATGATTATTACATTCTTCAAATCAATTCTCATTTTTTCATTAATTGCTTCTGATGCCCTTGGCACTGCTGAGTGACAGCATCTGCACTCCAGCCTAGGAGGCTACGGGGTAACTCGGCAATCTCCTCACCTGCATGAGAGGGGATTATTGGTCCTAAAAGGCTGGTGGTTTTATTTGAGGCAGAGAGGGTGAGGAAAGCATCTGTCAGAAGAATTTGCCAAGCAGACACTCATGCTACTACCTGTGTTAACCCTACAAAGAATGTAAGATCTATATCATATGCAGCATGCCCATATGTTTTTATTGAATTATCCTTAGGAAATGCCAGCTCTAGAGGGCAATTCATCATTCCCTTGAATCTTGCATGAAATCTGGTGTACTGTAAAAGGATGAAATGAAGCCAATCCGGAAGGATCATGTGTTACTTCAGCTCTGTGCTTGTGGCAGGGAGCTGGAGGACTTCCACCACTGGGATGCAACTGCTAAAAACCAGGAGCTTCTCTCCCTCTGTACAAAATAATGAATTTCATTATCATCCTTCACCCTTCAACCAAGAACGTGGCCTGTGCGATGTCCAGAACAGTCCAGGCAATGGCACATTTCCCTTTTTAAACTGAAATCTTAACCCAGTTTGTAACCATAGCCCTAAAGCTAAACTGGTGATCACTCTTGCTCGACAACACAGCAGCTGTTCTCCGTAGCCAGCATGAGCCTCCATCTCAGCATGTTTCCTGTAGGTTAGCAGACTTTACAGACTTGGCAATAATTGAGAGATTTGTACTTTTCTGTTCTGAAATCTTAATCCTAATTTTAAGCAACCTTGACCAAAGCTGTACAGTGACTGTCTCACAGGCACCGGGAGCTCCCTGAGCCTTTCAGATTCAATAATAAAACTTACTCTTCAATTCTTGGTTTCAATAATCCTGGCATCATAACCCCAACCGAGGCTGGAATTTCCCACCCTCCAGGAGAGAATCTCTCCTCCGCTCTACCCCCAAAACCCCCTGAGAGTGTTAAGCCTGTTCATAGGAAAGGTCTGTAATAAGGCAGCCCGTCCCCATTGCATACGGGCGTGCTGTGGAGGGCTCCTGCCAAGCACCCGCCTTCCAACAGAGCCAGGGCCAAATCCGGCGTGTGCCCCAAGGGCAGGACCTTGAGCCGGGGGGCGGGCAGACCCCGTCCTCGAGGGACTCGGGTCAATGCTAAATCCCCGATACAGCCCCGGGCGCCGCCGGCCAGACTCCTCTCGCTGAACACCACGCCAGGGGCTCGTTTCGAAAAGAAAGATCTTAAATAGCCTCCCCAGCCAAGGCCAGCATTTTGCAGCGTTATCCAGTGGCAGATGAAGGGGGGATAAATTCTATCAGAACAATCCTCATGGTGTTAAATAATGTGATTAAGCAGGCTGCCTAATTCTCCTCCGTGGTGTTGAACTGTCCTGTTTATCACTGGTTTCAGCTCTGCCCCCCTCGCTGCCCTGTCCTGGGCTGCCTCCCCTGCTGCAGCAAGGGACAGACTCGACATACCATCGCTTTAGCAGCTGCCTGCTGTAAAAATGTGCCCTTATCTCTCAGTCTGCAGTTTATACTCAGTCTCCTTATTTTCCTTCATGTAATCATCAGACATTTCTGCGTTTCGTCGTGATAAATACCAGACTGTTGAATCTCTGGGGCTGCCAAGGAATACATCTCAGCACAGCACAAATAGAGCTGCTATTTTTTTTGATTCCTTCCTCTAGTTTAACATTTATTCCTGCTATTGTTGTCCTTAGAAGGATAAATAGGGCTGTATCTTG